AATAATAAGTGTGGCCGTGGTAGGAAAAGGGGAGATCTCCCGCCGGGCAAGGTGTTCTGCCCGGGGAGCGGCCAACACTCCATGTGATAGTTCGGAGATGTTCTATATATACTGTTTCTGATTCGGAATGTTGATAGCGTGATTTAGACTTCGGTGTATTTCGATTGTGGCGCGACGACAGCGCCGCTACATCACCCCCTGCTCAGACCGGAGGTCGATAGTGCAGTCGAGTTGTCGACGAATGTGCAAGTGCCAGGAGATTGCCTTGTAGTCTGCGGTGAGTCGAGAAGAAGGCAAGTAATCTACGAGAGTGCCGTGAAGCAGAGGCGAGCATTAAGGCTCAGAGCCGTGCCGAACACTGTATGGCGCAGAGAGTAGCTTGAAGGAACAGGAAGCATTATTATTCCAGTGCTGCGATGAACCTTGTGAAGCTAGATGGCTTGCAGGATAAGAAGACTGCAGACGATATCTGCTCGGGAGCGAATGGGTGGGGTATTCTATGACGATGATGAAGCTTGAGTTTCCGAAGGTTGTTTGGTTGCGTGTTCAGATCACGTCGGGGTCACCACTGTGGCCGTGATAGGAAAAGAGGAGATCTCCCGCCGGGCAAGGTGTTATGCCCGGGGAGCCGCCAACACTCCATGTGATAGTTCGGAGATGTTCTATATATACTGTTTCTGATTCGGAATGTTGATAGCGTGATTTAGACTTCGGTGTATTTCGATTGTGGCGCGACGACAGCGCCGCTACAATAAGCTTACAAGAACCTACAACCAACTTACACCGATTTAGAATGTAATTCGGACCAGATGCGGCATTAACGCATTAGTCAATAAAAATAGTTTTTTTTTTTATTTCTTTAAAAATATATACCTTAATTCATGAAGAAACATGTGGTTTTTTTTTTCAAGACTTGTTGAACCTCTTTTTTGCCATACATGATTCAGTTATCTTTAAATAGATCTTGCTAAGTTTTACAAATCTCATAAAATATTTTATAAGTAATCTTAATGCCGATATCAAAAATTTTGCCGTACGTGCCATATTTATTTAAAAATTAATTACTTTATTTAAACAAACAATTTTCAACAGCACTTGTAGAAAAATAACGATTAATTCATTCCCTTAAAAGCCATAAAACCATTCAAGGGATTGTAGAGTCTAAAATAACGTTTTTTGTAAACAATACTCAATGCAACATAATAGTGTTGAGTGACAAAGCTGCCGGGTCATAGGCGCCGTCGGGTGCGTGGCGGTTATATTACATTTCCAATAAGCAAAATAATCAACGTATTTCCTTTAACACAAATAATATCTAAAAAATAATAAAATTTAAAATAAATACATCTCCTCCTGAAATAAAAAAATATTATGGATATATATTTTTAAAGAACCCACTTCTTACGCTTCGAAAATATGCCACAATTAAAGTCCGATTTTGCACTTTTTTGTGCATCATGTACTAGTTCATTAAAACATTTTTATACGTGGTAGAGCCACGCTGTAGTTATATTAGTAGTATAGTTGTATCACGAATGGGTCGGCTCGACCGGGGAAGGACCACGCTCTCACAGAATACCAGCGTGAAATATTATCTTAATGCTGGCTGTGTTTCGTATGGTGAGTGTAGAGAACCGGAGACGGTTTACTGGAAATGAGGCATTCCATCTTAGTCTTCACGGGTGACAACGCATCTGTATTTTGATTTGTAATCGAGGATAGATGAAGATATATATGGGCCGCAGCAACTACTTACAATCAGGTGGACTGTGTCACCCTATTCTATCGAAAAAAAACATACAAAATAAAAAGGTGTATTCGTTTCAACGATGAAAGCCGTGGTGGCTCAGAAGAGCCCCGGTAGCTCAGATGGTTAGCTCTCGCGTTAAATTTCACAGTACGCTCGCAAACCGGGTGCGATCCCCGCTGGCATCAATGAAATTGTTAATTGCAATTTTAAGTGCTGATGATGACGTGCTGGGCGGTGAAGGAAAACATTGTGAGGAAGTCGGACTGTCTGAGAAATAAGAAAAAAATATTTCGAAGACATGTGAAGTTCGCCAACACGCATAGGGGTAGCGCAGCGGGCACTTCTTTGTCCTAAAACCCTCTCAGAAATGAGGGAAGGCCCAGCTGTGGGACGTAAATAGGCTGTAACTTAACTAACTTAACTATTTCAACGATAATAGTCTGAAATATCTAGATGAATAAATTATAGCTAGGCAACAATAAAAACAAAATGGATGGATGGATATATGTATAAAATTGAATAAATATATAACACGGGTACTCATTTCTTTAAAAGGCTCCTGGTACTTTATTGGATTACTTTATCTACAGTTGGATTTACTGTATCTACAGTACCATTCATTTGCGAATGGCACTGTAGGTAACAGCAATCTTGCTCTAGGTTGAAATATAACGCAACGTTACACGATTTGCAAAACTGAAACGTACGTAAAAAGTAAATCAAAAAGCATTATTTTTTTTAAAATTCTTTTTCATTTATGAATTTCGCAAAGTACATACAGATAAAATGTACATTAAAAAAAGAAGTAAGAGCGGGTAAGAAATGTCCAACACTTGAATGCCCGCAGTCAACGGAGATATTTTTGCGTCCAAGTGTTAGACATCCGCAGTTGAGAGGTTATGCAAACAGTAAACAAATATAAATATATGTATGGGTGACATATTTATCATTTTTTATTAGTTTTAAAGATCTGTAACCGATTTTCTATTTTTTGTTATCTTTCAGTTACCCTGCTTATTACAGATCGAATTTAGTTTACTATCCTTACAATATAATAAATTATCCTTACAATATATTGAAACTGCATAAAAATTTATCAAGTAATTTAAACGTACAAACAAACAGATAATCGCTGATAAACGGTTAACGGTATAAAATATTCAGAAAGAACAAAAATAGAGAAGGTGTACATAAATATTTAACGAAAAATCACATTTCATTCCTATTTCGGTAAAACTAGGTAAGCTAAACATAATAAATTATCGATATAATATAGTAGTGTCACGCCACTAACCCGCGCTCGTCTCCTGCGGCCTTGTTCTTTGAAATTTACGTACACGACAATATTGTTTTTTTGCCCATACTATAAATCCATCGCTAATTTTAGCTCTCGTACTCGTAGACATGAACTAGCTTAAGAATCAATGAGATGATGATGATGATGAGATGAGGTAGTACTGGAGGTGAATAATTTTATTTAAGTATATTTCATTAAAAACAACATTATTTAAAACACTAAATACTTTATGAAATGTTATCCCTTTATTTGAAAATTTGCAAGTTGTGGAAGAATTTCCGCGGTCGGATATGCTTCAAAACACCATTTTTACGTCTCTGCATCCGAAACAACACTGGTGACCGAAAAAAACACTCCTCACGCGATTGTGGCCTACGAGTCACATGTGCGGCGACAAATGATATTACAGGGCTATAAACCTACTCATCTGTTTTCAGTCGGTGCCAAGTGAAATAAATAGCTTTGATAGGCTACGTATGTCTGCTTCGGCTACATAACATCATCTCGCGAGCGTGAATGCGTGAGTTTGGACCGGGCGGCGGCGGGCCTCATACCGTAATAAAATTTTTGATGCGCAAAATTGTTGTTATAGATCAATTTTGACAGTTTCTTACCTATTTGTTTGTAGGTTGGTCTTTGTAAAATATCAAAAGAGTTTAGTTATTTCATTAGAATTATTTTTCTGTTAATTTTATTCTGTAGATATATATATATATATATATATATATATATATATATATATATATATATATATATATATATATATATATATATATATATTTCATTGATGATGATTTTATAATCTGAATAAATTAATATTAACTTAACTAACACTTTTGTAACGATTTTCAATAATATTAATGTACGGCTGTCAATACCCGTATCATGAAAATTCGAACCTTTTGGTTGAACCTACATAGAGCCTGCGAAATCGTATGAATAAAGTTACTGGCCCGGTTCTGTGTGGTGGTAGTAGCCGTGTAGTAGCGTTGTAAAACTATCCACTACCGCATATCGCCCACGGGTAAGACACCCATATGGCATAAGAGGTAATAAAGATAAACTGTAATAGGAAACAGACAGGCAGCAGCATCTGTCTGAAAACATGCGCGGCAACTGGCTGGCTAAGGCAAATGATGAGGCAAAATATTGGCGAGCCCTATGTTCAACAGAAAATTTTCATAGTCTTACTCTTCAGCCCCCAAGCGGTCTCATGAGACCGCGGCCATATTTCGTCAAATCCCTAGCGATCTCATGAGGTCGCACCCACCCACAGCACTTTAACCCATAAAAACTTATATATAGAGACTACTTTTTTATAAAGAAGTTTAGCATTATATAATCAATATTAAATACTCTATCCTCTAGTGCAAAAAAAAACTGTTATCCTTTGTTTTTGTTATCAAAATACAATAGTCTTCTTGTAATGAACTAAAACCTGACTTTTATAAAGAGAATTTTGTATAGATTTTATAATGCCACAGTTCGTCAAAGAAAAGTAGTCTCCAAATACTTATAAGTTTTAATGTTTTTAAATGCTGCGGGTGGGTGCCGTTGCATGTGACCGCTCGGGATTTGTCTCGGGGTGCTCGGGGTTGTTGCATGACAATTTTAAGGGGCCTGAGGGGTTAACGGTTGAATAATGGATTCTGCCGGCTCCGGTGTGTATTCGGTATAAATAAAAAGGAATATCATATATCCATCTGCCGGATAGATTGATGCAGTATGTAAGGTCTTTCTCATTTCCTATATACCCACGGGACAATATGGGGTGATGAAAATTTTTGCGCCACTACAACAATTTCTTATTAAAAAATAAATAAATACTTGTTAAGATTTGCAAACTTTTATCGTATTTTTAAGAGGTGTTAGTTTATTTTACAATAATTACTTTTGTTTTTTTTTGCTGAAATTCATATACATTAAAGAATAAGTTTTTTAGTTTTTTTCCCATCACGTTCTCCTCCCTAAAGAAATGTGGTGTCCATATACGGATTTTAGCACCACATCGAGCTTCATTTCCATCTTGGTGTGATCTCCTTTCACGCGATAATGCCGTAGTACGTGGGCTAGTGTAGTCTTCATCGACATAAAAGCGAATGATTTACCTGTGGGGTCACAAAGAAAATTTTAATTTATAATTACACGACATAGTGCATAGTTGCAGGTATATATATATATATATATATATATATATATATATATAAAAAAAAAATGCTGCTGTGTTTCCGTCTGCTTAACAAAATAATTGAAATAATAAGCGAATATGAAAATAATGCTGCCATGCTTCGTATGGTAAGTGGTGAAAACTGTTTTTAATGGTAACGAGACCTATTACACATTCATCACTTTTACTATCCTAGTCTTCAGATGAGAAAACACAACTGCATTTTATGATAATTCTTTTTCAAGAATATACTTAGGTATGCGTGTGAGCACCCTTCATCTTTTTAAAAACACTCACCACTTTATTCCAAAATTCTCGATTCTAAACATTTCCCACCTTTATACATTAGTATACTAGATTTTCTTAGGTGTTTAGTGGTCGTAAGCAAGACTGCTAATTATGACTTACCGGGTTTGAATCCCGGGTCTGGTCAAAATAGATAAAAGGCTTTTCTATTACGAAATTTTCAGTAGCAGTCCCGTGATAGGAAGTTAGCAGAATTCTACCACCGTGCCTCGGAAAGCACGTTGAGCTGTTGGTCCTGCGCCTTTTCTCTCTGTAGTCGTGAAGGATTAGCGTTTAATCAAATTCTGAGAGTGAGAGAATAAAGAGCGCATCTGTCCTTGTGTACACACTTCTGCACTATAATCCTGTCCAGCGCGGATAACTAGTCTCCGTTAAGACTGGCCACTGTGACTGACATTCAGTCTGGATGACATTGTTATTATACGAGACAAGTATGGAAGGTCATAGTTTCCGTAATAAAGTAGCAGTAAAGTATTTCGTCTATTTACTTTCGATGTTTCTGAGAAGGAAATTACAGAATATTTTACATACCGATACAAACCCTCCTTCCCATATTAAAAGCAGCAAAAGCAGTAGGGCATGAAGGTAAAGTTGTGGTATCTAGCCATCGTTCTGGTTTGAACTCTTCGGCATCATCTCCCCACATTGGATGACGGTGGATACCATAAATAATTACAAAACATGTTCGCCCAGACATTAATGTATAATTCTCTGGAAAATAAAATAGGACTTTTACGTATTTTTTTATGTTAATACCAATATCTAATCAATATTCATGTTATGAAAAAAATTGCTATTTTAGTGGATAAAGTTCTCTTGGATTTAGTCGATGCCAAAACATGTTATTATTGTGTAAAATTATTATTGAAACTAACTGTGCCTGCTACTTCATTTGCATAGAATCTTTTTTAGAAATTAATTTGTTTCGAACTCTTATTACTTTTGATCTACAGACAGAAATTTTTGAGGGAGCGGTCCATCACGGAGGCTGGGACTCCGTGATGGACCGCTCCAGGCTCCAATGCAGAAGGCGGTGCTCCTCGATACCGCCCGCATCGTCCGCCGGTTTCTTTCCCTTTCCTCCTAACCCTCGGCCGTTTGGTCTCCACTGCCGAGGGCTTCCATCTGGTTGGATCTTATTTATTTATGTATTTTTTGTATTTATTTTATTTTATTGATATTTATGTATATTTATCTTTTCATTTTAACTTAAAATTATATATTTATAGAACCCAACCAGATGAGAAAATTATATAGATACCATAAAAATAATAATAATAACCCCACCATTGTATCTCTACTTTGACGACGTGGTGGGTCTTGTGTGCTCCAACGAACTCTAGGTTTATAGCGGTACAGTTTACTCATGCCGAGATAGATCTAGGGAAGTAACCAGACTAAAAGAAGTACAATCCAAGTCATGGTCACATATGCCGAGGGCTGCATGGCTACGGGAGAGTTTCAGTCGATAGTATGCCAACTCTGGGTAACAGGGGACACCCAGTTTTATTTACCCTTGCCATAGTGAACGCAGGACTCTACTGTGGTCGACCCTGTAAGTCCCTAGCTTCTCGTGGGAATAATATGATTACTAGATCTAAAACAAAAAAAAAACATACTCAGGGTAGCCTGACTCAAATAGATCAATCAGTCGTCATCTGCATCGTCTCTTTTTTCATCAATTCCATCATCATCACAATTATTCCACGTCACTCCGATGACATCATCATCATCAATCAGTAGACAGTTAGCGGATATTGTACATGAGACAAATTTTGTCATTGAAACTGTACCCAACACCAGTACTGCAACAACTCACACTTTCCGCCAAATTCAAAACAATTCTACTAAAATCAAATTTTGATACAATTTTGTATGTTGTTTTTGGGACGTTGCGAATCATGTAGCTTTAGTTTTATGTTCACGGAACTCAATTTCATCTCGTAATGAAATAATAAGTTATTTATCTTTCAATTTTTCCTTCTCATACTCCTCTATTTTAACTCGTATAGTATCGTACTTCTGTGACTGTAATTTGAGACTTTCTAAAGTGAATTCATGCTGTTTTTTCAATTCCTCAAACTGCTTTTCCACTATTACAGATAAAGTCTTAATCCTCATCTTTTTTTGAGAACTGCTAGTCCACTTGGATATACTAGGATAGTTACGTTCTCATTGTCCTTTTTTATAGAAGTTTGATTTCTCACGGTTGACTTTTTTGTATAGTCAACCGAAGACCCTGAATTTTTGGGTATAGATGGTGGCAAAATACGAGTATAAATTTCGACATTATTGCTACAAAGGATCTCAAAATCTTAAAAATATTGGGAATTATCTTACCCGCTTTTTAAAATGCTTCTAAGATGTATTTTGACTTTTCTGTATTATAAGATTTTATCTGTATATATGTGCTTAATATTATTTATTAAAATTTTATAGAGTTTTAAAAATTGATGATAATTGATGATGATAGAAATTTTAAAATAAACGTGAAAAATATTATATAAGAAAATGAAGAAATAATGTTAAACACAATGTCAACGTTTTACTTTTTGGAATTAAAATGAAAAAATTCAAATTTCGAATTCAAATTTAACTAGGCAATTAGTCAAACTTACGGCGTGGCCGTTAAATTGGCTTCCTAAACCAGCCGTATGATAAACATTATAGACAGTTGATCAAAACCATACGAATTTTCAGATAAAAGTTTTTTTATCTTACTTAGCTTTACATCTTTATCAAGTATTCTTACTGTCACCGGAACTATTGGATATATGCGCATGGATTCCTTCAAAACTGCTTCTAAATACACTAAGCGAGATAAATCTTGTTTAGTGACGTCCGTGTCGTCCCCTCCGAAGACATGGTGTAACCTACAAAATAAAGGGGTATATATATATATATATATATATATATATATATCTTCCAGCTGTAACATCATACCGGTAAATGCTGTGTAGAATGATACAACAAGTAAGTCAGGCCCTGTTGTGACAAGCTGTCGGTGAATGCAGGTGACTCAAGAACGTGGCTTGCGGTTAGACCTATATTTTGTGTCGGTTATCGGTTAGACGTATATTTCAGTAAATATGCGACACTATAACGATGATGAAATAGAATTGAACCTTTTAGGTATAATATTGCAAATACGTGTAAATAAGAGTTACAAAAATGTAATTAGACATAGCTGTTGCTCGCACTGTTTTAAACATAAACTCAGTACTTAACATAATTGTCAATAAATGTAATAAAATTGTATCAGAAAAACATTGCATAACTCTACCAATTTTATAATTGCTCATGTATTAATAATATGTTAATAATAGGTTTTTACCTATGAAGTTCAAATCAAAATAAGTTTTGTTTGGCAAAATAATTTTATTTCAAAAACATGGAATTCTTTATTCAAAATTAGTCATTTGTTTATTGATAAGCGTTATGATTTCATCGCAATTTTAATCGCTTTCGTCATCATGAGTACATTAAAAATTCGAGCAATTATATAATATGAGTACAGCGGCTTGGCAACAACGCGCCACAAGCGGCACGCAACATCAACGACGTCTACGGAGTGGATACTATAAACGAACGCACCACCGGTTTGCCCACTTCCATTCTGAAAATTTAGACCTGAAAAATTAACTCCGTGGTTGTTCGAAACTTTGGTCGACAATGACGAATTTAAGGCGATTGTGGAAGTTGACTATATTCAATCTACGGCTGAATCAATCGCAACTTTTTACATTAGCATCAAAAAAAAATATGGGTCCATCATCAAATTGGCAAGGTAAAAAAAGCTTGACAAATTGATGCTCCACGAACTCAATCATCGCCAGTGCAAATTACGCGTCGAGACGTGCCTTACACTGCTCAACAGGCACACAAACGAACGAATTTTGAGCCGCATTGTTAACTGAAACTAAAACTGTTAACTAAAAATAAATTCTGTTTGACAACCGTTAATCGTTCAGCACCTAAAAAATGCCGTAAGAAGCAAAAACTTACCCCTAGAAAAATGATGGTTACTGATTGGTGGTCTAGTGTCGGTATGAATACAGCTTCTTCACAAACTTTTTCTTACCAAACGGGATGAGCACTAATTTAGATGTATATTGTGGAAAACCGAACACAATGTTAAAGAAGTTCGCACGTCTCTAACCAGCTTTGGTCGATCGCTCGTCCCCGCTGCTCGTACACGACAACGCGCAACCTCATACTCAATAACAGATGGTCTCCAAGTTACAAGAACTCTGGTTGGAAGCTCTTCGTCATCCGCCATACTCACTAAACTTTGCGCCTACAGACTTCTACTTTGCAGTATTTGGATAACTTTTTGGCTGGAAAAAAATATAATACCCGAGAGGCAGTACAAAATGCCTTTGAATAATTTGTTGCCTCCCTTCCAGCTGATTTCTTCAAGAAGGGTAATAATAAACTGCCAATGCGTTGACAAAGATACATCAATTGCATGAGTGATTACTTTGATTAATAGAAACAAAAAAACCATTGATCTTATTTCACAAAAAAAACGGCAATTTCAAAGGTACTGGTCAATACCTGATATAAAAGATAGTGGTGAGTTTAGTCAACTACACAATATATTATTTTTGCCTTTATTAATTTTTAATTAGCTTAACATTTTTTACTATTATAATTAAATAATATTTGCTGTTCGCATCTTAAACTGCATTTTATGCTCGTATATTTTCATTCAAAAACTTTAAATACGGATATTATTTATAATGAATGTATTGTTACCCTGTTATTGAAGTGTTCATAATATGATCTTTAGTTATTTTGTTATATATGTAGTTCTGAATATAAAATGTATTGGTTGTAACTTTTTTGGTAGGTAAATATATAAAAATGGAGGACAAGAAATCTTGTTACTTGACATAAAATGCATCACCTTTTCAAGTAAATGCAACAAATCATACGATATTTTCTTTAAATGGAAAATATAGAAAATCTTAAGAATGTATTTACATATTAGTATTATTTGATGTTAAAAATACTCACTCTTCAAATATCCGCTCTTGTACCTTTGGATAAGATCCTATTAATACTAATGTTAACATAAGTACGTTCGCCGTAGTCTCATGTCCAGCGGCAATCATTGTATCTACTTCCTCTCTTATTTCCAATTCATTCAAAGTTCCCGTTTCAATCGATAATTCTAAAAGAAGGTCTAAGAAGGCTTTAAATTTGGTACCTAAAAATTCAAAAATATAACATACTTTTTTAACGTTTTCAGTTTTTTTTTTAAAGAATATAAATAAGTATAACTATATAAAAGTTTGCGAGTATTCTAGGTGAATTCCCGGGAATGGTAAATATTTTTGATCTAGATTTTTACTCCGTGCACTACACTACTGACTTACATATACATACAATAAGTACATACATAGTGACGTATCGGCCCAGTTACAACGCAAGACACACATTTACAACGCGGCTCCTAAAAACTTAGAGAATACCCATTATAATAGAGCTTCATCGTCTAAGTCTTATACGCTAAAATAACTTTAACGGCCAGGTTAAAAGATGATAGTAAAAATTATCAACCCATCTTGTAAGATCAATAATTCGATTTTACGACTTCCAACCACGTGCGTGGCCAGGTTTCCTGGAGGCTATAGCACCTAAGTTCATTTTCATACAGAAAGATATATTACACAAAATACCGATGAATATAGTGTACATGTAATATTTTATGTGTACTTTGTACTTTGACAGCAGCATCTTCCTAATAAAAGCTGCAAAATAAATACTGGAGTTGCCTACCCACCAAGTGTGGCAACAATGCTGAGTATTTCTCTTATGAAGTAATCTAAAGGAAAGGCCAATGTTAAGCAGTGGGTTATTCAAAGCTGTAACGGTTTTAGTCTATAATTTGTTTTTGAGTGCTTCAACTTAATCAAAATTTAAGGTGTAATGGGCTCAGCAGCGGTGCCAGATTAAATGGAGGTATACCAAGATGTTAACATATCTATACTATAAAATCAAGTTCCATGTTTCAACGATTCGCTCTCGCACTGCTGTGTTTGTTGATTCTGAAATTCTCAGAGACTGCAGGGGAAAGGACAAACAAAATGGTGTATACGCCGGGAACTCGAAGGATATCTTTGAAATTTTGTGTACTGTATATGTGGTATAAAGTAGTACACGAGAAACAAGCACTGACCTGTGGAAGGTGTATTTTCCAGTTTCAACCAATCAAACCCATATTACTATTTTATTTTATGAAGATACGTACCACTTGGTGATTCTAATCCATTTTTCTTATTATTTAAGTACGCTTCCTTCCGTGCTTGCAATACCTAATCAGATAATATGCAGAATATAAAGTAACACGCCTTAATTTTAATTTTTCTGGCGTAACAATTATAACTGATAGCAAAAAAATAAAGTTCTTCAGCCAAAATTATTAATTTAAAATTTTTGATCACATTCATTAAAAAATACCATTTGTTAAATTGTTACTATTTATTTCTTAAGTTGAGATTTAAGCACAAAAATCGTAATAATAAAACAATAGAAGTGGCACAGACGCGTGATCTTGTCGCCACCATGATGTGTTGCGAACATCGTTCACCATTTTGTGATTTAGTTGCGTAAGCGTAGTGTCGTATGTGAACTTGTATTATTGTAAATTTATAATAGTGAACTGCAGCATAATCAGTTGTTGTAAAAACTCATGAAGGACTTGTAATTCAACTAACAAAGGCATAACATTTCATCGGTAAGTTGATTATTTACTAATTATCATTGTTTTAACTAATTGACATCTAGATGAATACTTTACTTTTATTTACCTTTGTAAACTTTCATTTATTACTTTTCGTATTGTACCATTACCATTGCTGCTTTTGTTCTACCGTAATACACGGCGCATGCGACGTTGACAAACTCGCCCAGCAATGTATTGTGAAACATTGTGTATCATTAGGTATCATTGTGCATTGAGTATGTTTATAATACGGTAAGATGTGGCGATATCGGTTTTGGAAGTAATCGAGTGCTAATTATTTTTTATTGTCTTATTATTACTATTTCTGTGGATTTAACGGTAACTCACGAGAAAGTAAAACTTATGTTACAGCCTCTTTACCTCCCACTGTCAGGGCCATGCCTCCACTAATATCTTAAAGAGTTATGGAGCAAGCAATCCGCACCGTTTGAGAAACTTTACAACTTTTTTACAAATAATTTATACTTCAGTTATGAAAATTTCCTTCGCTGTTAAGCTCATATTATGCTAGTACTTATATTAAATTAAATAAACTATTTCATAGCTTTATTGACGGAAATCGGACTCTGATTGCACGCGTCCTAGGTAATTTACGGAAATGATTACTCTTGAGCTGTCACGCTTCATAGGCTTTACTGATCACGACACACCCAAATAAAAATAGTTGATAACATAAACTTTCTTGGAGTCGCCATAGACCGTCATTTAAATTGAAAATCTCATATTGAAAAATAAACAACAAAATCTCTAGCTACAGTTACGCATTATCCATATTAGCAAACAACTTCCGTTGATGTATCAAGGGCTGCAAATTCCGGCCAGATATATCATATTTGTTTACGGTATTATTTTCTGGGATAATTCTACAAATGTGCAGTCAACATTTATTCTGCAAAAGTGATGACTGCGAATCATTTATACTCTTAATATGTACTCAGATGAAACTCTAAGAAATGTATTCGAAGAAAAAGGCATTCTCACTCTCACTAATATTTACATATTAGAAATATCACTTTTTATCAAACAGAATGGCAACTATTTTCAAAATAAATTTAACTTGAATTCACGTCAAATACGCAGTAAATATAAGCATAATTTATACTTACAATTAATTGTATGTATTATAATAGCACTTTTGCACCGGTATTAAAATATTTAATCATCTGCCACCTGATATAAAAGCCATCAACTTGCCCAAATTTAAAATACAACTCAAGAAATGGTTAATACATAATGTTTTTTTATAATTTAAATGAATATTTTAACACCAAATAATTTATATCAAGTTTTGTTTCTCAATTATTGCATAACCGATATGGATAAACCGTATAACATTTAATTGCAATGTCACACGTAAATTGTACATAAACAGTTTACTGGCAATAAATATTTTGATTTTGATAAAAACACAAAAGTAGGCATGTAAATTTACCTTATTAGACATATTGTGCAATATTTTTATGCACTGATCTTCCTTCTTCTTTAAAAAAGACCAGCCGTACATAAAGTCACTGTGCAGCCAAAACTTTTGAAATCTTTCTATCATAATGCTGAAGATCTGATCTATCGCGTGTTCGTATTGACTGTTAAGAACGCTTTTTTTGCCGAAATCTACTCCCATGGTAGTCACTGCAACAGATACATTTGCTGGAGCTTACTTGCTATGTGAAATGAAAACTTCTTCATTTATTATGAATAGTGTCAATATCATTGTCAGACCGATTGTGTTTGTTTCTGTAACTAACATCTACAAAAAACGTAGCATAACGTTTTCATTGTAGTATAAGTGTAAAAATATACACTTCCCTAAATCATCCCGATGGTGTCGAGAGGCGACAGAGTTTTATATATATGTAGTCATCCGAGTTACCAATCGAAAACAAAAAGATGCGGTTTGGAACTCGTCTATCAAGCATGGCATGTGTAGCAAATATCGCACTTAATTATCTTTCACAGGCTGTAATAAAGATGATGATGATGATGATGAAAAATAACAAGCGAGCACATAACAATCCCCGCTTTTTTAGTTTCCAGTTTTCATATATGTATATGTATGTGTGGTTTACCTAATATTTGGAATTTGAATCGACTTTAAAAAAATACTAATGAATATTTTATCGATGTTATGAGTTTATTAGAGAGATTGAATCTTTCCATTTAGGAATGGAAGACAACATTATTCAAATAACTGCCACGGCTAACCTTACAATACCCCATTCGATCAGTCAAAATTTTCAGTACATTTTCGATTGTTTAGGCCTCTACTTCGTCGTCAATCGTCTCTGTATGGTTAGCGTAACTCTTGTCCTAAACCTTTTAGCATTTCGGCTCATTATGTGATCTTCGAAAATAGTGCGCAAAAGATTCGATTGTTACGTTGATTGTGTGGCAAGTTGCACCGTCCTGTTGAAACCAAGTGTCGTTTATGTCATACTCTGCAATTTTTTGGAGCGAAAAAATCGCTTAGCATGGTGCGGTAGCAATCGTAGCAAAGAAGTGCGTGAAATGGTCAATTCTTGAGAACGATGACGAGTTGATGTTGATGGTTGTTCGGGCATACTCTGGCAAAAGCAGTAATATTTTCGGTTGAGCGCACTGGACGAACATGGGTTGTTTTATCCAACTAAAATCCAGTTTCACGGACTAGCTTCAGAAATTGATCCACAAAACTGTGTTTTTGGCACATCCTTATTGGCAATTTTTTTTCGTAAATTTCTTAGTTTGAGCAGAAGACTCACCACCTTGGAAATAAGTTTTTAATGTTTCCAAACTTTGTGCAAGCGAAAAACTACCCATTTTGTAAATGTCAAACATAGAACTAGCTTTCTGTCACGTCGAAAATGTCATCAAAACTTTCAACCTCAAAATAACCCATAGTTCCAATCCCACGCGTTAGATGGTCCATTCTGTAGTTACTTAGTTATTAAGTTATTCAGTAATTAATCTTGTACAGACATTTTCATGTACAGTTCACTATATATTTTATCTGTTATTCTACTGATGAAACACATAACATACAAAACAATAACGTACAAACTATTCGTGTTGTAGGAATTTAATATCACAATTGCCACGCTTACAGATGATCTAGAATCTTGGTCAAGGAACTTAATACTATCTCGCGAGAGATCTGGATATTGTTTTATAGGTCATATATGAGATAGTAAACCGCTATATCTATCGGATATCAATTCAGATAAATAAAAATATACTTACAACAAATAGTTTCCAGGGCATTACTTCGAAGGTAAACTAAATGGTTGAAGGGGCCCTTTCCTACCTGTAGTAATCACAGATCAAAACATAATATTTAACTATTTTGAGTAGTTATTTAAAAAAATTAAATAAGAATTAATTTTTATCATTGTTTTAAATACAAGCATGCGCCTTGACAATGTCCTGTTTTTGATAAAACTTTCAGAAATTTAAAAAAAATTGTTTCGGCCTCTTTATTATATATTATTATATTATTCAAATATTTTAAAAAATTTTCAGAAATCGGTTATGCTACAGGTTTATTATAGTATTATAGTATAGATAATATAAAATGTATATATTATATTATAACTTATCACATATTATAATTTCACTTTAGATCATTACTGTACTGTAATCATTACAGTACTGCCCATTCAAACCATAATGCCGCCATTATCTGTTTATTAATTTATATTCACACGTGGGAGAGCCATGCTGCAGTTCTATACATGTATAGTTGTAGCACAAATGGGTCGGCTCGACCGAGGAAGGACCATCACAGAATACCAGCGTAAAATATTAGCATAATGCTGCTGTTTCCTATGGTGAGTGAAGAGATCGGAGATCCTTTTTACCGGAAACGAGAGTAATTACTTTATATCACTACTGGCTCGTGAACCAGAACTGGTACAAACCAGCCCTGGTCGGCTGACGATGAGTTGACGGAATCTAATTAAAAAAAGGTTTTGGCATGCTCTGATCACGAATCTGCATTCTTTTTTTAGGATGCGCGGTTCCGGAGATGTGCAAATAAATTAACTAATATCAAATTGATATTAGTTAATTGATTTGCACATTGCGGCGGACACTTCCTTGCCCTAAACCCTCTCAGAAATGAGGGGAGGCCTGAGCCCAGCAGTGGGACGTATATAGACTGTAACTTTACTTTTACTTTACAAATTGATAGCCAGCCTGTACCCACGTTAGCGTTTTATTGTTCAGCCTTTCCTCTTATCTATTGTTCCTTGAATACCGTCATTATTGCTCTTAGCTATTACTCGTTGTACACTTTGCTTAATCAGTGCTATTGTATTATAACTACTACGCTATTTTGAATCATCAATAAAACACATTCCTTAATTTTGATACAATTTTAATTTCTAAAATGTTGTTGCTTATTATTTATAAAATAGGAGCGAAACATCTCATCCCCTAAAATATCGTTGTACAGAGTGTCCCTGTAAATATTCTCGTAAACCTATGCATTGAACATACCTGAAACTTATATAGCAAATACATTAAGCAATATTCACCACAAACTGAAGTCCACTCATTCTGAATCTTATCAACATTCCTGTCCTATCTTTTACAATTCCTTTTTAAAAACTCTAGATGATATCGTGCAGGTGATCGTCCATATGAATCAAAATATTGACAGATGCCATTAGTATCGATATATAAATTTATTTGTATTATAGGTATTGAATTGTAGTTTTCATTCCAAATATTTTAAATATGAATGGCAATATGGTACTTTATACCGTATTGTCAATAATTGGTGATGGAGCTTGCTTATTTAGGGCAATCTCTTATATGTTGTGGACACTGACTAGTGTAACGTCGTTCTCAATATAGACCACGAAGAGAGAAGAGAGGGTTTCGAAAGCATTGTTCTAATAGACCCAATAGAGCAATATTTCGCCTGATGCATACAAGACATGTTTCATTCAAAATTATACTGTTTTACATTTGCATTTTACATCGCGATTCAATCACGTCACACTCATCTGTTACATGTTTATATGTCATGTCTTTGCAGTTGATTTTTAAATACATATTATTTGAATTTCTAAATAATATTTAAAGAAGAATTATACATTATTTGAATTTTGAATAACTAAAATTGATATTGTTACGAGCTTGAGGTTCGTGACAATAAAAATTGCCGATAAAATTACCTAAATTAACACTTTAATTTTCTATACACTAATTAAACTTAAAACACTAATAATTAATCACACTGATTCACTTTATTTCGCTCCGAAGCTTCGCTTGTCTCGCCAAATTCAATACTTCCCCGATCGCACCTTGCAGCGCATATAAATACACATTAGTACCGAATCATTCAGAACATTCAAGTAAATACGCGCACCAATCGACAAAGCGCCGAAAGTTCGAGAGTCAGCTTCCAGAAGCTTAGTTCTTCGTTTCGACAACAGATGGCGCTGTCGGTTGAAAGATTAGTGATGTCATTTTCTGGAAAGCTCTCTCCTCGCTCTGTTACCCGACACTAGATGGCGCTAGTGCCCGATATCAACTTAGCCGCGCAACACTGCCCCCTCCTAAGACATGCTCGTCCCGAGCATTATCGGCCCCATAATAACGCGCCAGGCGATCCACATGGACGATCTTAGGAGTCCCGCCTCGCCTTTCTGTATCCGGTAGGTTACATCGTTGATCCTGGTCACAATCCGGTACGGGCCGTCCCATTTAGCTTGAAGCTTAGGAGATTTCCCTTTGCTGCGGACTGGATTGTGCAACCACACTAGTGAACCTTCGTCGAACCCTTTGTAGTTCATTTTGCGGTCGTACCGGGTTTTCTTCTTTTCAGACATTTGCTGGCCCGATTGTCTGACGTGCTCATAAATGTCATTCATTTTGTTCCGCAAGTCATTTGCATAATCGGTTATACTGCGTGGAGCATCAGGTGGTATCCCGGTGATCAGGTCTGCAGGCAGCCGTAATTCTCTTCCAAAGTTTGCGAAAGCTGGTGTCACTGTTGTACTTTCGTGAACAGCGCTTCGATATGACAACAAAAACGGTTGTATGTGCTTGTCCCAATCTCGTTGCCGATGGTCTACAATTTTTGCTAGGTACCTCTCTAATGTCTGATTAAATCGTTCTACCATTCCATCAGATTGCGGGTGATAAGTAGTCGTTCTTGTTTTGTGAGTACCCATAACTCGGCAAGTTTCCTGGAATATTTGAGACTCAAAATTCCTTCCTTGATCGCTGTGAATCTCCAAAGGTACTCCAAAACGACAGAAGACTTCATGAACTAGTTTATCCGCAACTGTTGAAGCTTCATGATTTGGAATGACGAAGACTTCTGGCCACTTGGTGAAGTAATCCATCATAACCATGAAATACTTGTTACCGCTTTCACTCTCCGGAAACGGTCCCGCCACGTCAATGGCTATTCTCTCCCATGGTGCACCAACATTGTACAACTTCAATGCACCTCTACTACGAGTCTGTGGTCCCTTTACAGCCGCACAACTTCTACATTTGCGACACCACTCCTCGACACAGTTTGACCCAGTAAAACCGTTCTCGGATCTTCAGTAGAGTTCGTTTAACTCCTCCTCCTCCGGCTCCGGCCTCCTGAATACTCATTATGGTACAGGTGTAGAACATCCGGTACTTTAGCTTTAGGGACATTTCACATTTTCCCATTTACGGCACAGAACTCCATCCTGAAGCAGCAAGCTGTCCCACTGGGCCAATAGCTTTTAGTGATCGAACTCATCGCTGAGACGTCGCTCCACTTGGGCTTGGGAGCACTGGCCTTCATCCATTCCAGGATCGGCTTGATGTCCGGATCTTCCTGCTTTGCATGTTGTAAGCTGTCCTTCCACTCGTTGCTGAGGTGGTCTGCCCTGAGCATTCTCGCGGATACCACTTCCTTACTCTCTTGCCTAGTACAATGTTTGCATTCTTTAGGACTAGGTCTTCTTGTCAGTGCGTCTGCGTTGCCATGAGATTTCCCGCTGCGATGTCTGATAGTAAACACGTATCCCGGCTGCTGCTGGGCGGTGATGTTAGCCGCACTTCCCTTCTGAGATCGTTTACCTTCCCTTTCTAGGGTTCGCTTAGAGCAGCTGGATCGAAGATGGCCCCTTTCCCCACAGCCATAGCACCTAGGGCTGTATCCTTTATTGTGGTCGCGAAACCGTAACTGCTGCAACCTCCCTAGCGTGAGGGGAGCGATGATCCTGCTGCCGCCAGGTGGTGCCGTTAGATGCACTACCCTCTCGGGATCGTTCAACTTCCCTTTCTAGGGTTCGCTTAGGGCAGCTGGATCGAAGATGGCCCTTTTCCAAACAGCCATAGCATCTAGGGCTGTACCCTCTGTTGCGGTCGCGAACTGTAACTGCTGCAATCTCCCCGACGCGATGGGAACGATGATCCTGCCGCACGGCTTCCACCTCCAGTGCATGGGCCAAGGCGTCCTTAAGCGTCTCGTGGTGCCCGAGCCTCACAGCAGCTCTGACTTCCAGGTCGCGGATGCCGTCGATGAATGTCTGCACCAGGTTCCCTTCAATGAGCGCAGGTACAGACCGGTATGCTTTCCGCACCAGCTTCTCCACCTCTAGAACCCACTGCTGCAGGATTTTCGTTGATGCGCTGCACGCGATCTTTAAGCTGCGCATGAAAGACGTGTTCCAGGTGAGCGTCGCCATATCTCGCCTCCAATGCCTCAAGGAGTTGCTCATAAGTCACTTCCTCCCCGAGAGCTTCCAGAACTGTTAAGGCCTGGTCGCGCAGGCCTAGTGTGAGAGCAGTCATGGCCTGACTTTTATTCCAGCCGTTCGCCTTCATAACAGCCTCGAACTGAATTTTGTAGGCTGACCAGGAAGAAGTCCCGTCGAACGGTGGCACTTTGAACCCACGTAGCGAAGATGTAGTAGCTACTACGGGAGCTGTAGTTCCATCACCCAGTTTGAGGTCGTCCAGCGTTTTCTTCAAGTCAGCCACCACGTAATCAACCCGATTGTTCATTTGGTCGATTTGGGTTTTAGCTTCCTTGATTTGGGTTTCAGCGTCTGACAGGCGGTTGTCATGTTGAGCAATCCTATCCTTCACCTCCCTTATCTCTTTCCCAAAGGTAGCATGAAGGTCCTTCATGAGGAGCATCTGCTCTTTCGACCGACGAGCCTATTCCACCTGCTGATCTTCCAACCGACGGCCCTGTTCCTCCTGTCGGCGAGCCTGTTCCTCTTGTCGGCGGGCCTGTTACTCTTGTCGGCGGGCCTGTTCATCCTGTTCGCCCCGCAGCTGCTCTTCCAACCGACGGACCTGTTCCTCCTGTCGGCAAGCCTGCTCCTGCAGCATCACCATCAGAGCACCTAAGTCAGGTGCTGCAGATGTAGGAGCTACTGACGGGCCTGCAGCCGGCGGCTGGCCCTCCGAAGTCTGCGGCGTTGCACCACCAAATCTTCTTTGGTTCGTCTCCTGCTGGCGTTGACTTCGGGTACTGACACCCTCCGTTTCCTCCTTAGGTAAAATCGGCATGATTTTATCCCACTTCTGACACCAATTGTTACGAGCTTGAGGTTCGTGACAATAAAAATTGCCGATAAAATTACCTAAATTAACACTTTAATTTTCTTTACACTAATTAAACTTAAAACACTAATAATTAATCACACTGATTCACTTTATTTCGCTCCGAAGCTTCGCTTGTCTCGCCAAATTCAATACTTCCCCGATCGCACCTTGCAGCGCCTATAAATACACATTAGTACCGAATCATTCAGAACATTCAAGTAAATACGCGCACCAATCGACAAAACGCCGAAAGTTCGAGAGTCAGCTTCCAGAAGCTTTGTTCTTCGTTTCGACAACAGATGGCGCTGTCGGTTGAAAGATTAGTGATGTCATTTTCTGGAAAGCTCTCTCCTCGCTCTGTTACCCGACACTAGATGGCGCTAGTGCCAGATGTCAACTTAGCCGCGCAACAATATTTTTGTAATAAAAACAATTATAAAGTTGTATAGAAACCAAATATTGGCTAGAGAAATTCGGTAGCAAATTGTAGATTACGTTATTTCGGTCATTTGTTTATTTATTTACAATATGAAATACAAGCGTATAGTTTGTCCAATTCGATTCTTGATTTGATTGTGGCTCCGTCCATTAGTTTATTTGTGAGCCCATCTGTCTGTTCGTTCATTAGTTTTTGTAATTGACTGACTAACTGACAAAGTTACTTCTGCAACTATAAAGTCAGTTTTGTAATTTTGTTCATAAATATATTATTATACAAAATGACAGTGACATAAGACAAGTAGTAAATTTTTGATAATTATAATTGATAAGAAAACACAGTACTTATAAAAGTTTGTATTTTATTTGTGGATGTCGTTGGAAAAAAAGAGTAAAAACTAAATGTATTAAGTAAGAACTGGTAGACTAACAGTGACTATTGTATATAGTGACAGTAAGTTTGTATATAGTAGGAGAAAAACATACAAAGTTAGTTTATTACTGCAAGTTTTAAACTGATGTTTTTTTTTTGGGAAATATAGTGATTAAAAATTAAAGCATAATAAATTAATATAACGTAATATGTAAAATAATACCTTACTACTCATAAGGAGAACATTATTTCAAATTTCGAAGACTTTTGTTTTATTAATATCAATAATATTACACTACCTCCACTTCTAAATCCTTAACAAGGCGTCTGGCCTGGCTGTTAAAAACCCTCTGAAATCCATCCAACACTAGCTGACTAAAAGCTGGGTTTAAAAGTTTTCGATGACGCTTCCATATTGATTCTGCGTAAACATATTTAACAAATGTACTAAACAACTACTTATTCACTGTCTCAAAAAATTGTAAACTGCATCACAATTTTCAGTTTAATATTTTCTTTTAAATAATAATTTTCTAGAAACAAAATTTTTAGAATAAAAATACGTACCTTTTCCGGTTAATAGACCTTCCCCTAACCAGGGTTTAGCAAATTCATATATAATGTCCTTCTGTAAACAAGCATTAGCGACAGTCAAGCTGTCTTCGGGATCTGTTAACACTGGAAACAAATTAAAGGTGAAAATAATTTATTTGAGTGTAACTATACCTTTTGTAATACCATATAATAAATACAATACCGTATGCGGTCCGAGGTCCAATATATATTGTTGTTACACCACCCGCTCTTAAGCTATTATGGGCCATTTCTTTTACAGTATTCCACAGAGCTGGGAAATAAAAAGACATAGCTTTATAGGTGAACTATGCTTAAGTTTAAAGTATGCTTGGATTTCTGCTATTTGTCATTAGTTTAAACTTTAAGGTAAACGTTGATCTAGGTGTGCGTCACATAGGTCGCGGTATACCCAGGTGGGTACGGGAGCGGACAACTTTGAGGAGCCGGCTCGGTTAGAATCTCAACCTGCCATCAGTGGTGTCTCTGACCCTGTATTTGGTGTGGAGGGCCGTAATCACCTTCCGTAAAACCGTCATGGTTCAGAAAGATGCTGCTGAGCGGGGTGGGACGGAACAGATCACCCTCTAAGATGTCGCCGAAGCAAACAATTATATTGAAGCTCTTCCACTGATGTTGGTGTTTTCATTCCAGAATCGGGGCTTCCGGGGTTGCAAGCGATCATGTTTCGGGCCCAAAAACTGCCTATTATCAGATCAGAGACATTCTGATGGCACTACGAATGTTCTGGAGAAGCAAGTATTGTGCTAAGTCGCGCTTCAGGCAAAGTATATAGTAAATTATGGGCGCAGATTTCGTTCCGTGCGGAGATTCAAGGATCACTGATAAATGTTGATGGTGATTACCGGTAGTATTTGGTAGAAATCTAGCATAATCATGATCTTTTAGCCCCCTGGAAGGTTTCCGTGGAAGACACAAAAATATGAAATATAGATATTGGAAAGTAATTACTGGTATTTTAATTCCACACAAAAAAGAATAACCCAGCAACATGTGAGTATAAAAAACAAGTCTCCTAGAGCCACAAGTACTAAGAAACATTGAACTAAAAAAGAAAAGAAAGAAGCGATAAATACGAAATTCACGTAATTTATGCGATAAATAGGAAATATAATATTTTGTGTATTTCATACTTTTTCGAAGAAATTTCGAAGAAAAACATTTACACTTAAATAAAACACAATTTTCTAATATTACCAGCCACACGTCCGTTGCGAACGCGCATCTTAACGCGAATATAGAGACAACCACAATTTAGCTTTTAACTACCTTTTCTCTAATAAATAAATAAAATAAATATGTTATTTATTTGCTACAAATCTTCCTCCTCCACTTCCATTTAGTGGTGAATTTTAAGTTCAATTATTGTATTAATAAAAATTTAATTAAAATAAAAAAATGTAAAATTTATTTGAGTAAAACACAAATTTTACTCATCAAAAGAAAGAAACGTTAAATAACTTCAGATGCAACTGCCCAAAATCCGCGATTACAAACTTTCTGTTTGCCAATAACGTCAATCAGAAACACGTTCCTAAACACACAAAAAACGAAATAAATAATTTCGCAAGATTTAGATATCTATGTTAATGATTGAATAAATAAGTAACAAGTGGTAAAATTAAAAATGTTGTACAATCGACTTCAATACTACCGAATCAATGTATTCGAAATCAATTAAATAAGCTTTATTAAAGATAACTCAAAAACTACTGGTCAGATCTTGATTTAATTTTTATGGAACCACACAAAATGCACCAGCTTTCAGATAAAAAAAGAATCTTCAAAATCGGTTCACCCAGAGAAAAAAAACTTACAATCGAATCGAATATCTTTTTCTTTTTGAAGTCAATAAAATTTGTTATATACTATTTCGCGATATATTGTTTATTTGCAACAGGTTTTTGCGTAAGACGTTTAATTTACATATTTTTATATTCTTTGCTTTTAAATTAGTTACATTTATGTCCGGTTATTAAATAATTACTTGGTAGCGAATATGATTATTGAATAGTGTTATGCCAATTTGCTTAGAACGAACCTCACATACAAACAGTACTATAAAATTTCTAAAGAAGCAACGGGAATTAAATCATATGGTGATATCGCCTCCTGCGAATGTTAATAATTGATTTATCAGGCCTGGCGATTACAACAAATTCTATTCTATTCTTAATTTTTTAGAGTATGGTGACAAACGAGCACACAGTCCAATTGATAGTAAGTGGATGCTATGACCCATAGACATCTACATCTATCATCGACTAAGAATCAAGACACAAATGGGTTGTGACCCCTGAGAACTAAGATAGGTAAGGGTCTTTCACTTTACTCACCATACGAACCACCGTAGCATTATTCTACGGTATTCAGTGAACACGTGGTCCTAACACGGCCGAGCTGACCCATTTATGCTATGCAGTTACGAGTATCTTTAGCTGCAGCGTGGTTCTACAACATCAGCATTTAGTTTAGTACGAATTTTTTGTAATAAGAATACATAACCAATGAGCTTATTGTTAACTAGCCACTGGGAAGTGTTATGCCAGCTCTAAACATAAAACGCAAATGTGCGTTCTGGCACCTGGAAAAAAATGCACCTCACGACATCGGGATATGGAGGATTTATCAAGAAAAATTTATGTACTTACAAATACTACTTCCCATCAGAAGATGTGCATGTCCAATGAGCGGCAATGCTTTAGGATGGGCGGGTGGTTCCAGTTCAGACTTTGTGTTTCGATGCCACCATGTCCAACATAGCGCGAACGTTATACAAAATAACGCTAAAGTCAGCATCTCGATGTAACCTAAAGCATTAATGACTATAAGAAAATTGACTTGAATATTTTACATAAAATTTCAAATTTATCTCGAAGAAATGAACTTCGCTAATACGCATGTGTCAATGCCATAGGCTTTTCATGTTTAAAAACCCCTTCAAAAATGCCCATCATTAGTTTAAAAATTACTTTCTGTACTTTTTAAAGAAAGAAAAACATGTTTTTTTTTAAAATAACAATACATTTTTATTGTTTATATAATTATTTGCCTTTAAAATTTAACCTTCTGTTGATGCAAAGATGAAATCAAGAAGGCATATAAGTAAGGTGTTTATGTAAAGATAGAAACGTAAATGAGAGCAAAAACTAAAGGAAAAACTAATACGTATAGCATTACAAAATCTTGCTTAATATAACGTTAATTTAATGATTTCTTAAATTTACGCGAACACCACACTATTTTTTCATGGATTTTTCCATTAGTCTACTGTGTTTAAATTATAATTTGGTTTACGAGTTACGCAAATTGGACCAGACAGACAAAAAAAAATAACGTCATTGAATAAAACTATTATACACGGATTTTATCGCGTTTTAATTACAACTATAATTAATTTTTATTATCCCGACGTTTCGGGTGTACCACAAAAGTAAATCATAATACTCAGCGAAATACAGTACATTCAATGTTGTTCAACAAGGCCATTACACTGAACTCCTAAGAAATTTAAGGAAAGCTCTACCAACAATATCATAAGCTTTGTTTCCTGAGGTCGCCGAGCGGTGGCAATTTTTGAATATTTCAATCATGGAGTTACTATTATGAGTACTTTGATGCAGACCAAATAAATATATTGTGCAACGAAATTCGTTGAAAAGACATGTTGTGGATGATTGCCTTGTTAAATTTCCGCATATATTTCTTACATCAGATGTGGAACAATACCTTGTAATATAATACAAATGGCTTCGCGCCTATAATCTCCGAAGAGGAGTCAGAATCCAAATAAAATCGGTCTACTTTAAACAGGTTTGATTAAAAATATGGTTTTAGATGAAAAAATATAACGTAAGTGATAGAAGGCTAGCCCGTTACCTGACTTATCACAAACCCAATAACCCATTAGTTATTTGAGTATAATTCTTTGTTCTTATTGGGACTTATTTTTGGGACTTATAGTCCCAAAAATATAAGAACATAGGTAAACAAGGATATTACATAGTACTTGAGATGGAATTAGTACTTATATAAAAAAAGAAATCAGTCACCGCAATGTTTCTCTAAGAATAATTCACAGCAAATTAAAAGTTTTTATATACATAATAAAATAATTGCGTCACGCAACAACTTACCGCTTTACGAAGTTTTCTCAAAGGTTGCTTAGAACATGAATGAGGATTTATCTTTCTACTTCCTCAATATATACGCGAACTTTTTTCTTGCTTATTTCTCGTTTAAGAGCGCATATTCAAATATGTCCAAGTCGAAATCTACGCGATCGCTTTGGATCGGCGTAATATTGACGCACACTACAATGTTATCTCTGTGTGCGTGTCAGGGCGAGCGTGAGGCTATAATAGTTGCCTAACGACGACTACGAATCACTTTGATCTTTGATTATATACCTGTCTTTGATACTATTGGAACTAAAATAATAAAAAAATAATATCCATATAATTGCTTATATAGCGTATAGAAATCGGAGGCTAATATGTGGAAATTGTTTGATTCTTTTAGTAAATTGAAGTCGGCTTTACATTTTCACCCTATTGAGTAGGTATATTATAATATGTATATGTTCTAATTGAAAAATATGTATTTTATAAAACATATATCATTTGATAAACTTTTATTCTGTTTCATAATGTAAACATAGTTCATCACAAACTAACAATTTCATTAGTGTCGGCGGGGAGTAGTGTTGCCAGGTCTAGCAAGTAAAATTTCGGGACGGAATGTAAAAATAATCGGGGATTTGGTTTTCATATCCGGACAACTACAATGACTACAAAATATAGGTTTCTTTGTAGCCTTTTTTGTGCTTTATTGAGAGCCGTGGTAGCTCAGATGGTCAACGCTAACTGTAAAGTGTAAATATCACATGCGAGTAATGCGAGAAATTGTGACTGTAACTTTACTTTATTTTTGTGCTTTATAATTATTATTCGGGTCTGATCTCATAAACGAATAACTTTTCATCCAAACATCGTAAAAACTGATTTTGTTTTTCATTTTAAGCAAATTAAAACATTTTTGAACTATTTGTTTTTTTTTTTGCAGTCCTTGAATTTTTCAAATCACTCATTTTAATATAATTCTGTTTAAAACTTTTATGGTTTTTTCGACTAGTGAGACAATGTCGTAATAAAAATATTTTAATGTGGTAGTAGCTAACAGATATAATCATTTTTGTTGTCTAAATTATGGATTAAAGTATAGAATAAGAATGTTAGTGAAAATGGGGACATTTGGCGTCCCGATCAAGGGTGAATCGGGACGTGTCACTAGACCCTTGAAAATCGGGACGTCCCGCGCAAATCGGGACACCTGGCAACACTAGCGGCGATCGAGTCCGGATTGTTCGCGTTTACGGCGAGCACTACGCCCTTGAGCTACTCAACTCAAGCACGGCTCATATGTTTTGTCTGGGGGCACGGTAGTGCCCCCGCCAAGTCGAACAAAACAGCGGCACGGCCGTATCATCATTGCGAGACTTGGTTATTTTACAAGTTATGTTTTTGATGGCATGTCTTTGTTTAATCATAACGTTATCTCCGCACTAGGAATTTTTCCTAAGTACATCGTTGGGGCAGTTTAAATACATTAATTTCACAAGGACAAACATCCAGACCTGGAACAATTATTTGTAGGTAATACAAATTTTTGCTCAATGTGGGATTCGAACCTGCTGCGCTCAGCGCTACAACTCATTACCAAGTCACTCCTCCACGGAGCCAAAGGTGAAAGCCAACGATTTTGTATTTTTACTTGATCCGAATTGCTTACGTTCATTACTCATTTCTAAAAAAATATGTATGAAATGAAAATTTGTTGCCATTACATCATTTAATATTCTATAATATTACAATCATAAACATATTTCAAAATTACTTACTACCAAAAATATCGCTTATAAAAGTCTCAATCGTTTAAAATGCGCGGTGGTGCTATAGGTAGCTAGTATAGTATAGTGTAGTATATCCCTATCGGTGTATCAACGCGATCTCGCGGTGTCGGTGAGAAAAAGTGATACGTCCTGTCGTTGGGATTACCCGGAGCGTACTGAAATGAATCGAACGGTTTTTTTTTTGCGCCCGAAGCAATTATAGGGCTACCCTGTACGTAGGGAGGCGGAAAATGCATTACGCATACCACGATAGCCGGTCTATCGTGGTTATGAGGGGCACACTGTCCTACCGGGGACCCTAAGTGATACCCTCTAAAAACCGCCTTTGGGGACAGGCAACCGGCTCATTAAGCTCTACTGTGTCTTATCATGAGCGACCCTCTTTTGGGAAAAGAGGGCGCAGGCGGCTAAGTGCCGCTGAGGGAGTGCCTACGAAGGCAAATCAATGTTAGTTATTACAATAATTTTATTTAATTAGAGTTGGCCTGAGCTGCCAGGAGACAGTTCAGGTCGTTTGAAAGTTTATTAGGCGGGTCCGAGAGAGAGTTTCTCGGCCTGCGGACACGATAGCGAGAGGGGGGTGGGGCTGCATAAGAAGCTGCCTCACGAATTAAATAGTTTGGGTGCGACTCTGAGGCTTTGAAGAAGTTCCCAGAGAGTTTTTTAAAAAATTGTTGAATTGTTGGGAGCTCTAAGTCCCGATGAAGGTCGGCATTACGGACGTACCAAGGTGCGTTCGCAGCTCCACGACAGAAGAGGTTCTGAACTATTTGGAGTTCATTTAAAATATTGGGGTTTGCGTGGGCAAAGACGGGGCCCGCGTAGGACATGACTGGTCGTAATCGAACGGTGCCTGCGCATGATGTTTTATAGTATTTTTAAAATAATGATATAAAATAATTGACAAAATAAAACGAGCAAAATTTTTTTTTTTTTGGATATTTAACATTACATGTATTTTGATAAAATAATTTTAATAGATATGTTTATAAGCAAATACATGGAAAAATTTACATTGAAGTAGACAGTTTTGGTGATTTTATAATATTATTTTATAATATTAAGGCGCTACCTCCAGCGAACGACCTTGAGCATTTGGTCTGTCGACGCTCGCTACAATATATCGCGTAAGAAATGGCCAAAAGACGCCACCTACTGCTAGGAACGTAGTATTATTTTTTCAATGTCAATGAACTCTTCTATGGAAATAGACATGGCGTACAATGATAAATGTATTTTAATTTTCTTTATTCGGTATATTAGTTGCATTATATTAGAATTATGTATTCTAATATATTATCTAATTAATAAAAATGACTATTTTGATTATTTTTAACTATATACTATACTGCTAATATTGAATTAGCTTTTTATAGTGTAAATTATAATATTTGTCGAAATATTAATTATGGATTCGAACTTTACATGCTAATGGTGCTTCATTTTTGTTATTTTCATTTACTTACATATTGAAAATATACTTGAATAGTAGTTATTATTATTTTATTTAGCTACTGAATTTTAGGATATGTTTTACCTTGAGGTCAAATATAATTTTGAGGAGCAATAGTTATTACCTACTAATCTTTTATTTGCTATTCCTTATTTAGGAGCAATATTAGTAAATTGAGTTTGAGGGAGATTTACTGTTTATAATGCTACATTTATTATTTTAATATTTACCTACTGGGTAGGTGATTATTAAAATAATAAATATAGCATTAGTAACTAAATAGATATTTTTTTTTTAATTTTTAAAATTAAAATTTTCGTATTTTAAAAAATTACTAAGAAAAGGGTTTGAAATAATAAATTTTCTCACAAAAGAAGGGAACTTGAAAAAAAGGAAAAAAAAGCGGGACCAAAGCCAAGACGCGAACCACGGAAC